ATAAGAGCTAATATTTTTGTCCCAGCAGAGCTAGAAATGAGAGCTTTATATCACTGGAAAGATGAAAATCTTCCCTTTCCAAAAAGAACAGGAGTACTTGTGGCACCTTAGAGACTAACAAATATATTTGAGCATAAGCTTTCGTGAGCATCCGATGAAGTGAGCTTATGTGCAAATAAATTTGTTAGTCTCTAAGGTGCCACAAGTACTCCTGTTCTTTTTGCGAATACAGACTAACACAGCTAACACTAACTTCCCTTTCCAGTCGCACACACAGCACTTTTATAGCTGTAGAAGGGCAAGATATACCAGATTTTGAAGTTATGATATTTTTATGTATAGAAAAGCTATGAAGTCATTAAAATAAGTTTATATAGTTTTTCACTTCCAGGGAGACTATATCATTTTACCCATAACTAAGGCAACTGTCTTTTACAGGAGGAGGTATAAAAGAAATAGTTCCATTGACAATTTAAAAAACCTTAATGTCACTATCCCAACATGTGTTCTATATATACTTGTGTAGTAAATATTTAACTAAGTTATGATTAATCACTACTCTATTCCTTTACATGCTGTACCTGCTGATGCCTTTCTTCATATGAAAGCCAACTTTCTATTCCTGAAATACATGAGAAATCTAATTTGCCTCTTCCTGCCCATTGGCAATATTTCAGGCTGACTATATGCTACTTGGGCCTAACTGCATTCTCCATGACTCCTTCAAGAGGGAATCTCTTCCAGTACACCAGTTCATAATGGCGCTGCAAGGGCCCAATTACTTACACTATTCATAATGGCCTTTGCTGGTACATCTAAAGCTGTGATGTTCATTTCATTTTCAGGCAGCTGATTAGCGATGGTTGTAGCTTTAAGTGGATCCTGGATTCTGGAGAGACCAATCAAATGGATCCTTTGTTTAATCAGTTTTCCATTTTTACCTTAGAGACAGAAGTTTAGAACACACTGGAGCTCTTGGCATCTTGTGATGTTTACAAGCAGCTTCAAAAGAATGTCTGTCTGTTTGAGTAGTTTCTTGTTGGAAAACTTGAAAGGTTGCTCTAGCTAATATAACAGTCTCTGTTTTCTATCCAGTACTGGAAAACAAGGTGCTTTCTATCCCAGCACCTGAAGATGAGACATATCTTGTTTTTGTGCTTCTACATTTTCTCCAGATTAGAGATAATAAGGAGTTTAGCTTGAGGCAATCTTCTTTACAAGTTAAATTTACAGACATGTGGTCAACAAACACATTGTGACCACTGCTCTACCATCTAAAGTGGTACATCCAATCTGTTTATGTGGGTGCATCTACATCACCCATCACCGCACCTACATCAACTCACCAACCTATTAAAATTATTTGAGGGGGTCAGCAAACAAGGGGACAAGAGTGATCTATTCGACACAGTGTACTTGGACTTTCATAAAGTCTTTGACAAGGTCCTACACCAAAGGCTCTTAAGCAAAGTAGGCAGTCATGGGGTGAGAGGAAAGGTCCTCTCATGGACCAGTAACTGGTTAAAAGATAGAAAACAAATGTTAAGAATAAATGGTCAGTTTTCCATAGCGGAGAAAGGTAAATATCGAGGTCCCCCAAGGCTCTGTACTGGGACCTGTGCTCTTTAACATATTCATAAATAATCTGGAAAAAGGGGTAAAAAGTGAGGTGGCAAAGTTGGCAGACAATACTAAATTACTCAAAATAATTAAATCTAAAGCTTACTCTCAAAACTGGATGACTGGACAACAAAATGGCAGAAGAAATTCAATGTTAATAAATGCCAAGTAATGGACATTTGAAAAAATAATCCCAACTATACATCCAAAATGATGGGGTTTAAATTAGCAGGTACCACTTAAGAGAGATTTTGGAGTCATTGTGGATAGTTCTCTGAAAACATCTTCTCAATGTGCAGTGGCAGTCAAAAATGCTAACAATGTTAGGAACCATTAGAAAAGAGACAGATAATAAGACAGAAAATATCACCTGTAGGCAAAAACTTTTCACAAAGTGATCACTCCATATCTGATCTTTCAATATTCACCCTCAGAGTAACCCTGAACACCACCACCTTCAAAACCTAACTCTGGGAACTTAAGTTCATAATGCTGCTGGACACTAAAAACCATGGACTTAATGGGGACCCTGGTTTCATGGCTCATTACAATTATTGGTTAGTCTCTAAGGTGCCACAAGTACTCCTTTTCTTTTTACAATTATCTGTAACACACACCTGCCTGGTATCCCTTAATGGCTCACTTCAAGTCTCTTTTGCATAACAATCTAACCCTTATTGCCCACTCACCATCTCAAGTGACCTCCTACAAAGCTCATGCTCAAATAAATTGGTTAGTCTCTAAGGTGCCACAAGTACTCCTTTTCTTTTTGCGAATACAGACTAACATGGCTGCTACTCTGAAACCTTACCTACCTTGTGTCTCTCATATCCTGGAACCAACACGGCTACAACACCATTGTAAACAGGTTTGAAAATTGTAGTGTACACGTATATTCTGAACTGTAATTCAGTAAAAATGCCATCACGGGATTCTCTGTTTATTGTCTCATGTTAGCTTTCACTTCAACTTTGCTCAAGTTATAAGTAAAAAGATAGTTAGATAACTTATCAGTTATGCAAACCAACCTGGAATATTAATATTAAGATGTATTCTTCCTGATTCATGCATCACCATCATTATTACTGTTATCATTTTGCAATAGCATCTAGAGCAGGGGCGGGCAAACTTTTTGGCCTGAGGGCTACATCGGGTTTCCAAAATTGTATGGAGGGCTGGTTAGGGGAGGCTGTGTCTCCCCAAACAGCCAGGCATGGCCCAGTCCCCGCCTCCTATCTGACCCCCCCAACTTCTCGCCCCATGACGGTTCTCCCGGGACTCCTGCCCCATCCAACCCCCCCGTTCCCCGTCCCCTGACAGCCCCCCACTGGGACTCCTGCCCCATCCACCACCCCCTACTCCCTGTCCCTTGACCACCCCCGGACTCCCTACCCCTGACTGCCCCCCACTACCCCATCCAACCCCCCATCTCATTCCTGACTGCCCCCCCCCCCCGGGACCCCTGCCCCATCCAGGCCCCTGTTCTCCACCCTCTGACCGCTCCGACCCTTATCCATACCCCCGCCCCCTAACCACCACCCTGAACTCCCCTGCTCCCTATCCAACCCCCCCACCCCCACCCTCTGCCCCCTTACCTGGAGATACTTACCTGCCTGGAGCACCGATGGCTAGCGGCACTACAGCCGCACAGCCCTGAGCACGGGTCAGGCCACAGCTCTGCAACTGTGCTGCCCGGCCACGCAGAGCATTGTGCCAGTGGCACCCTGAGGCTGCGGGGAAGGGGGAACAGCGGGGAGGGACTGGGGACTAGCCTTCCAGGCCAGGAGCTCAGGGGCCAGGCAGGAGGGTCCTGTGGGCTGGATGTGGCCCACGGGCTGTAGTGTGCCCACCTGTGGTCTAGAGGCCCCAGTCAGGCATCTAGGCTGCATTGTAGTAAGCACGGTAAACATGTAACCAAATGAAAGTCCCTGTCCCAAAGAGTTTACAATTTAAGGCTATGTCTACACTATGCATCTTTTGGCGACACAGCTGTGCCACTACAGCCATGCTGCTAAAAGATGCGCAGTGCAGTCGCTCTTTGTTGGCGGGAGAGAGCTCTCCTTCCAACAAAAAAATTCCACCCCCAACGAGAGGCGATAGCTTTGTCAGCAGGAGAGCTCTCCTGCTGACAAAGTGCTGTTCACACCGGCGCTTTTCGTCAGTAAAACTTTTGTCGTTCGGGGGGTGTTTTTAATCATATCCCTGAATGACAAAAGTTTTACCAACAAAAGTCCAGTGTAGACAACGCCTAAATATAATATGAGACACAACAGGTGGATACAAAAAACAGATGGAAGCACAAAGTAACCGAGACTTTATTATGATAAGCAGCAGTCAAAGCACACCAACTGCCTAGTCACGAGTAATAAAGATTCTGCAATGGAATTTAGTTAACAATTCTGTCGATGCACAGAGTATTAAAGAATCCAGCTGACTCTCCCATAACTGCATTGACTCTATAGTACCATGGAGAGTAAAACAGAAAAAAATATTTTATTTGGTTAAGCAAGTAGATATGATTTATGAACACAAAAGGATACAGGATCTGTTGTACAAAAAGGTACTAATTTTATATAGTTACTTTTCTGACTATTACCATACTTTAAAAACGGAACTGAGTTATTAAGAGTAAAGAAAAATCTGAACATTTTCTTACAGCATGGGGGCAAAAAAGCATATTACTGGCTAGCTCAAAACCAGCCAAATAAAATTTTACCAAATTAAACAAACACAAAAAAACCAACACACTTTACTTTTAGACTAGAATCAAGCACGAGAAATTTCAATCCAAAGAACTATTTCCCCAGAAAGTTAAAGTGATCAAAAATAGGAGCTTATAATGGAAGTGCATCCTTAATCATAATGATAGTATTGTTAAGCAAAACAGTAATAAAGGATTGTGTGAAATTCCACTTAGGTAATCTTGATGGTGTCTCCATGCATAAGACAGTACAATACACAGTTTCCAGTACTGTATAGGACAGTATTCCAAACCAGTGGAGATGCTCAAAGTGACAAACAGCATTTCAGAACCCCATTATACTGGCACACCTCTACCCAGATATAACATGACCCAATATAACACTAATTCGGATATAACATGGTAAAGCAGTGCTCCGGGGGGGCGTGGGGCTGCGCGCTCCGGTGGATCAAAGCAAGTTCGATATAATGTGGTTTCACCTATAACCCGGTAAGATTTTTTGGCTCCCAAGGACAGCGTTATATCGGGGTAGAGGTGTAGATTCCTAATATAGGAAAATTTTTATAAGCCAATGTAACTTTTGCCACCAAACCTTTTAAAAATATTTTATTAGATATGGAATACAATAATATAGTAATACCATCAACAAGAAGGGAGGTAGCATAAAAAGCTCTCCTACCTGACAGTGGCTGTAGTGCCTTTTCAATAGAAGGCAATGGGTCCTTTCTGAGAGGTCGGCTGAGTGAAGCCTCCTGTACACTGAAGAGTCCAGGGCCGTCAGTTAATTTTTTACGTCCACTAGTGCTGGTAGAGTTAGTGACTCTGCAGCTGCCTATTGCACTTGTGAAAAGATTTGTGTGTTCATCACTGGTAGCTGGCTCAGAGCTAGGGGTAAATCCTCCCAAGGACAGACCTGCAGAGTTTTCAGAACAGTCTATCTGTAATGGTGTCTGTAATCCCAACGCTAAGGAATTGGACTCCGAAGGCTCTCTCCTTACCCACTGTTCCTCTCTGCTTAGCAAACCCTTTGAAGGTGAAAGGTGTGGACAAGTCATATGACATCTGTGTTTCTCTTTATGTTTATATCTCTCACCAATAGCCTCCTTCCCAAATCTGTAGCGCTTCAAGGATTCCAGGACTGTTCTGGAAGAGCTGTTAGCTGTTATAGTGTCCATGGAAACCTGTGGTTGCTCTGAAGAACGATGTTCTCTATGTTTATGACGATGTCTGTGTTTATGTTCAAGCATCCAGCCATAGGCCATTTCAGGTGGAACACTGGGGTAGGTGCTCATAGAGAGGAGTGGAGTCCTGCTAGTTGTGAGGAAGGCTTCTTGACGTAGAAGCTTATGCTTCTTCTTGTGGTATTTGGCAGGGTTAAGAAGCAAATGGCCTGTATGCATGTAAGAAGGTGGTGGCAGTGGGGTAGTAAAGGAAGGAGAAGGTGGTGGAGGATAAAGAGTTGGAGGATACCTTCCATAATAACCTAATCCTATTGGAGCAGCTGCAAGGGGAGAAGGAGAATAAGGCATGCCATAAGAGGGATAGAATCCAGTACTGGAAAGAGGAAAACTAAGACTATGCATGAAAGGCATTTCTGCCATAGCCTCCCGCATCTTGGGGGGTCTGCCTCTCTTCTTCTTTAAATCAGGTTTTCGAATGTAGTGCAAAGGATCTAAAGGAAACGTTGGATGAGTATAGAAGCTATTAAAGTTTATCCTAAAAATAGTAGGCAGTAGGTCTCGGGGTATAAAATGATGACTTCTGTGGGTTATTCTAATTTCACTCAAACGACTTATTAGTTCCTCTAACTCAGCAAGAAAATCAGGGTCTTGCCTACCTCGGAGCTGAGGATATTTCTTTTTCCTTTTTCGCTTCTGTCTTTTCATTTTGTCGTAGCTGAGGTAATCATGACCCCTACGCTTACATTTATGTTTATGTTTTTCTTTTAGGCTACTTAAAACTGTTGAGGTTTCAGGGGAAATGAGGGAAACATGTTCAAATGAATGTCTTTTCTTCTTCTGCCCACAGAATTTCTCTGCTCGGTCTGAAGTACTGTTATTATCTGTTCCTATTCCACTGTCACTGGGAACTGTCTCATCGCTGTGAGACTCACTAATTGGTGAAGGAGTGGCTTCCTTCAGAGATGTCAGTTCACTTAAGTGAGAAGGAGAGCTCGGCAATAAAGTAGGAGGAGATAATCTCCTCCTTCCTTTGGAGGCCTTTTTCATTGCAAGGGTCTGAACTACACTTCCTTGTCTGGAATGTATATGTAAATATGGCACTGAACTGGGCTCAACAAATCCTGCATCACTGCTGACAGGGCTCTGCCCCCCACTTGCTGCAGAAGACTGAGAGCACACTGGAGATGGAAGAACCTCTGAATTATTAGCTGCTGAAGGCAGCAAAGGAGGAAGTACTTGTCCCAGTATTGTCCCCGCTGTTTGCTGGGTAGTATTCTCAAGAACAGTTAAACTGGCAGAATTACTAGTTAAAATACCATTTAGGACAGCTTTAGGTTTCCTACCTCTTCTCTTTCCTATGTAAATGGTTCCTTTCTTGCTGACATTTATCTGCTGGCCTAATTTTGAACCAAATGTGGCAGCAAGAGTTGACACTGTATTGTGGAGTTTTGATTGCACTTTCCCTTTGTTATTTGGCTCCACTGTGCTAGAGAGGATTTGATTCAAAAGCTTTTTTCGCTTCAAAGTTTTCATTTTGTTTATTTTTCGGATAATTGTTTTCATTAATTGCCCATTACTTCTCTTGGTAACTTTTCTATCTGATTCTACCTCAACGTCTCTCATGCTACACAGAGTTTTCTGAGCTTCCTCTGGACCGCTGACCTGGTCCTTCCTCCCAAAAAAATCCCCACTACATTGCTGATCACTTTCAGATTCCATTTTGTTTGAATTATCTGTAGCAACAAAAGATGCCACAGACAGAATAGGTGGTTTCATTTTAACAGCTGATCTGATCTGTCTTTTAGGTCTCCCTCTCTTCTTAGGAAAAGTCTGTCCTGTTAAGCTTTGTTTTAGGGAGGGAATTTCTATCTCTGGCTGCAGAACAGGAGGCTCTTGCTCTTCCTTTGACTGCACTGAGAAGACTTTTGATGCTGGAATTTTTAGGGTTCTCTTTGGGGGACCTTCCAGCTGGGGCATCTCCTTTGATTTAGGCCTTCCTCTTTTGGGCTTATAAATTTCTGGTAAGATGTTACCTGACACACACACACTGGAGGGCTGTTTGTGAGTACTATAGAATTTTTGAGTCTGTTTGTCAGCTTCAGTTAACAGAGCAAGAGACTGTCCGCTGCTAGATTTGCTCAGTTTTGGCAACTGATGTTTGACAAATTCATGCTCTATAAATGAAGTTGACCCTATATTTTTCAAGAACTTAGCCTGCTCCAGACTACTGTTTGATAGTGCAGTGCATGAAATGTTTTTAAAAAGCTCTGACCTTTCTAATTCTAGACCCTTTGGAGGCCGACATATGTTTCTAGACACCACTTTAGTCCATCGTGGTTTCCTTCCTTTTCTTTTCTTTAAAGATTTTGACTGAGTAGCACTCAGGTCCTCAGCTCCTTGGCAAGGTTTCCCTGATGCAGTTATTGCACCAATCTTTAGAAACTGTTTGGTATTAAACAAACTTGTGAAGCTAACCACTGAAGAGGTGATTGTAGCATGAACATTTGATTCAGTTGTCAGACTGGTTTTTTTCCCTATGGAAGGATTAGTTCTTGTGGTGTCTGTGTGTGTGGCTTTTGAATCATTTAATTCTTTATCCACACCTTTAAAATCAGTGCTCAGACTGTGATTCGATGATCTATTCAGGTTCAGAAGTGTACTGTCAGAAGAAAACTGAGTCTTCCCAATCTGCTCAGAAATTCCTTCTAAGAGATCTGCTGTGGTGGTACTTATATGTGATGGATTTGAAGCTAACGGAGAGGAGGTTGCTGTGGGGCTCCTGTTTAAGGTAGTAACAGATACTGTGGGTGAGGGTGATGGGAGGTTTCCCTCTCCGACAGCACTAAATGGGGACTTTGCTGTAGATACATCTGAAGCTCCTCCTGTCCTGAAGTCTGGTGAAGTGCAATATACTGGAAGCTGCTTTTCATGCTTAGATGTTTCATAAGTCCCCTTTTCATTGCATTGGAAACTGTCCTGTTGAATACAGGTTCCTTCATTAAATATTTCTTTGTCTATACCAGCAACCTCTTTTCGAACTGAAATCTTTTCCAAGATATTGTCTTTATTCTGTCTTATAATATGTTTCTCAAAAGTTTTACTGCTGATATTATCTTTCAGTAAATCTGTAGTCTCATGGCTTTCAAGATTATTGAGGTTTGTACTGCAAGAAAGCTTGAAGGGCTCTGAGGCAGGACAGAGAGAATCAGCTTTCAGACTTCCAGAGTCCTTGTTAATCAATCCTGCTGAAGTGCCAATTCCCAGCAGTTTCTTCCCAGAGTCTTTGTTAACCAGTCCCACTGGGGTGCCAATCCCTAGCAGCTTCTTTCCAGAGTCTTTGTTAATCAATCCTGCTGGGGTGCTAATTCCCACCAGCTTCTTCCCCAACTCCTTGTTTACCAATCCCGATGGGGTAACAATCCCCAGCAGCTTCTTCCCCGACTCCTTGTTAATCAATCCCACTGGGGTGCCAATCCCCAATGACTTCTTCACCGGCTCCTTGTTAACCAATCCTGTTGGGGTGCCAATCCCTGGTGGTTTCTTCCCAGAGTCCTTATTAACTAATCCAGCCACAGAGTTAGTCACTGGCTGCTTCTTCCCAGAGTCCTTGTTAATTAATCCAGATGGAGTGCCAATCCCTGGTGGCCTCTTTCCAGAGTCCTTGTTAATCACTCCAGCTAAAGAGCCAATCCCTGGTGGCTTCTTCCCAGAGTCTTTGTTAACCAATATGGCTGCAGTGCCAGTCCCCAGTGGCTTCTTCCCTGAGTCCTTGTTAACCAATCCAGCAGCAATGCTAGTTCCTGGCAATTTCTTTACTAAGTCCTTGTTAACCAGTCCAGCTGCAGTTCCAGTTCCTGGTAGCTTCTTCCCAGAGTTTTTAACCAACCCAGATGCAGTTCCAGTTCCTGGCTTCTTCTGCTTTGTTTTGGAAGACTTTGAGGGGGGGCAAATTGCAATAAGTTGAGCCAATTTTTCTGTTACAGTTGTTGCTCCATTAATTTGTGCTCTATCCTTCAAGTCAGGATCACGGCTACCAACAAGAGTAGAAGGAGCTGACGTTACATAATCTGTCATTTCAGTGGGTAGTGGAGAAAGCTTCTTCGATACAGGACTTGTTTCTCCTTGTATGTCTTCCTCAGCACGGAATTCAACTGTTGCAATTTCTCCAGATTTCTTGCAAAACTTTGAAGGGTCCTAAAAGTTTAAATAAGAAAAATACTTTAGAAACCAAATAAAAACAAAAGTAAATTTTCTCTAATCATACTACCCTATAGTGTTGATGTAATTAATCACTGCTTGTTTGATTAGGGATCACTGTGAATGAGATGTTGCATCTCAATGGACTGTATCATTTTTAAAAGAACACATTTCAGTGGACATGTACAGGCTTTTATAAAACAACTATCACCCACACACCTTCGCAGCACCCAGTCCAAGTAATTTAATCTCTTCTACTGATTGGAATGGTGATGGGCTTTCATCACAGCAGATTGCTAACTGCGCTAAAATATACCAAACTGCATGGTGGTTTGTGCACTGGAAAAATGAGGACTACAGACTACCAAAATTATTTGCTGCTGTGGCTCAAACCATATTTGAAACCTAGTCTCTAGAGGTGAAAAGCTACGCTAATACAATAATCCATTACATCACTAAACCTTTTGGAGATGTTCCAGTAAATTAACCTTTTCCTTACAGAGGATTTTCATCTTTTATATACCACTTCCAATAGCGATCCTAGAAATGCATGAGATGTATTAACTTCTATTGGGAGCTGGGGGAGGAACGGACACTCATTCCTTATAATTATCAGGTAATGAAGTAGTAAGTACAAGGCTTGAAGAAACTTACCTGATACCTACTGGCCTGAGATTAAGCCTACTACCCAGGGTGAAAAATATTGGTGCTACCATGCCCACCCAACACTATCCTCCCTGACATTTAAATTAATACAAAAATTGTATACTGTTTATTTTTACTGTACTTAATTGACAATCAATTTTGTATTTAATAAATTTTACAAAACTAACTTGGGCTGGCCAAATAGCAGAAAAAATATTTGTTGAATATATTTAAATGTCACCATAATTCATTTAATATTATTTGGTGAACAGGAGGTGACAAGCAATAGAGCTGCTCAAATACTGCAAAACAAAATTGTTGAGATATACCAGTGATGTTAATTGAGTGTATTGTAATATATTAGCAGTGTCCTTTTTGACCAGTCTCACTTACTCCAGTCTCATGCTTTTGATAGATCTTCTTTCCCTTCCTGGCTTATGTTCTTATGTGGCTTCACCCACTGTTTTATGTATTCTTCAGCAGCCAAAATTTTGATTAAAAAAAGGAGTCTAAATTTAGGCTCCTATGTTCATGTAAAGTCAATGGGATTTGTGCTCCTAATTCACTTAAGCACTTTTGAAAATCCCATAACTAAGGCACCTATATACGGACTTGGTGTCAGGAGTAAGGCCCTCAGCCACATCTGCTCAGTATTCCTGATACCTTAATGAGCCAGCCAGGCTGCCTGATGGACCACTTTGCCTGATTGGCTGAGGAAGCCAGCAGGCCAGCTCTTAAACCTAAGAGCAGCAGCTATCCTCTGGCTGCTCAATGCACATGCCCATGGGTCTCTGCCTCCCAAAGCTTGTCTCTCCGAGCCTCCTCCTCCACATCTCTAGCCCAGACCCTGTTCTGCACCCAGGCTTGCTCCTATCTCAGAACCAGCTCTGCTTCTGCCATCACAGACTCCTGGTAATCCGGCTCTGACCCTCGGCTTTGATTATGACTCCATCTCAACCCCTGGCTCTTGCATTCGGGCTCTGACTTTGGTCCTGACCCTTGACTCTGATTCCTGACTTCAACTCTGTCTTGCCCCTTGTCTCTGGCACTTGGACTCTGACCATTAGGCCTAACTGCCTATGACCCAGTCCACTGACACTTGGGAGCCTAATTTCTGGCTCCTATTTTCAAAAATTTTAGCCAATAGTCTATTTCCTCTTTTCCGTCTCTCTTTTTCTCCATTCCTCCTATAGCTCTCTTTCTTTCCCTTTTGTTACGTTGTGGACTCTGACTCCTACCTGATATTTCATGTTTCTCCTTTCTTCTCCAATATCTCTTTACATGCTGTGCTTCTCTTTTCAAATGTATCCTATCAATCTCTTCCCTCTTACACCCACCCATGCTCCCATATATAGGGCTTGGAAGTTTTACTAGACAGTGAAATATTTGAGACCTCACTGTCTGGGGCAAAACCAAAATGAGAGGCAATCCCTGCCTCCCTAAACTGCTGGGATATGGAAATATACGAGAAATCTTACCAAGATACTGTCCCAGGACCCTGCTCAGTTTGCTTCATATTTTGTAAAAGTCTTTGGCTAGCAAGAGTGATAAATCGCAAACTCTCTGACCGTCAGAAGGGAGAAGGTGCACATTCTCACTCTCTCTCTATATATGCGTGTGTCCCTCCTTCAAACCCAGGGCTTCTTGTTTTCTTCAGAAAGGTGCCTCAGCTACACTACACTTCTCCCAACTCTCTCTTATAGATCCTGCTCCTCAGTGAATAGTTCCAGCGCTAGCCTCTACTGCGGTTCAACTCAGCTTTCTCAAGTAGCACTGTAGCAAAATTGATTTAATTCTTGTCAGTTTCACAAAACTGGAATATTTTCCAAAAAGGATCTGAACAGCAGCAGTGAAAATGGAGAAGGCTGATCAATTTTCATTTTGTTCCACGTTAAAAAGCTCTAAGTAGCAGTAAATACTTCATGTGTCTGTTGGCAGATTTAGGAAAACAGCATTGCACTTAGTTTACCCTCAGGTCACATTTGACAAGTTGTTTCAAACTATAAGAACTCGAACTGTCCTCTTCAAGTCAGGTACTAATTTGGACCAAGTCCCAAAGCATGTGCTCAGGTTTTGACTGCCTGCAATATATTCTTGGAGAAAGATGCAGATCAAACTAGTCTTTGATGGGATGGGTGGTCAAGATCTTGAAGCTTTGTTTTTAAATGAGCATAGATTCTGCAGAAATTGATGGCACTCACCCTGAAAAGCTTCTTCCTCATGCTGGGTGAGTGCATATTTCAAGCCCACAGACAATAACTGTCAAACGTGTAACATGTAACACGTGTGTGTGTGTGTGTGTGTGTGTGGAGAAATAAACTGAAACTACTGCTGAATTAAAGACAAGAGGTTGGAAGAAATCTGTATTTTTGCCTGCAACACGAGAAACCAGGCCTCTGTCCTAGTTTGGAAACCAAGTATTTTGAATTTTACAGTTCAAAAAAAAAAATCACTTAATCACAGGTACGTTAACAGAAAATATCTGGTTTAACAAACACGTTTTGGAAACCAATTTCATTTTGTTCATTGGATATCAAATAAAACAAATCCAGTTAACAGAGACATCTTGATATTGAGAATATTTTGTCTCCCTAGGAGCCTTCTATATCAATAGGCTGCTAGTGTAGTTACAAACCATTATGAAAGGCAACATTTATAACCTGGATCAACAGAACAGCTCTTTGTTTACCATATTCTCTAGAACAGGGGTGGCCAACCTGAGCCTGAGAAGGAGCCAGAATTTACCAATGTACATTGCCAAAGAGCCACAGTAATACGTCAGCAGCTCCCCTCACCCCTGGCTCTTAGCACCTCCCACTCACCAGCAGCCCCCCCAATCATCACCTCCCCACACCTCCCGATCAGCTGTTTTGTGGCATGTAGGAGACTCTGTGGAGGAGGGGGAGGAGCGAGGGCATTGCAGACTCAAGGGAGGGGGCGGAGTGGGAGCAGGGCCTGTGGGAAAGCCAGGGGTTGAGCAGTGAGCACCCCCCTGGCACACTGGAAAGTTGGCACCTCTAGCTCCAGCCTCAGAGTCAGTGCCTATACAAGGAGGTACATATTAACTTCTGAAGAGCCGCATGTGGCTCCAGAGCCACAGGTTGGCCACCCCTGCTCTAGAATGTTAAATAATTGAGGGTTGGTGACATCAAGTGATTTATCTAAATAAAAATAAATCACTCACATGCTATTGTCTGACTGATTAACTTGCTGAACTATGTAAACAGTCAACTGAACTGCAAAGACAATATTTCACCACCTTTCTCCATTATCAATTACTTAGGAGCTCAGCCAATCAAAATATTTTGAATCCCTAAAGCTTCTTTACTGCAACAAGAGTGTCTGGTAGTCAAATAAAGCTAGGATTAAAAAAAATTAAATAATTCTGATCATTTAAAAAAGTGATTTCTAAAATGTTCCTAGATGAACCTGGGAATACTGCTGAAGTAATAAGGCTTTTCACTTCACAGATCTCTCAACATCAAAGGGAGTCCTCCTTCTGCTTATAAACATATACCATTACTAAGGTTTGAACAATTATCTATTTTTATGATTTAGTTTCTCATAACTCATTACTTATTTGTTTCACAGCACCCAAAAGTGTGGTAAATTGCCTTCCTGACACATAAAAACACACGGGTCCTGCCCTGAAATTCTTATAATTTGACTAAAGATGATGAACAAGGGCATGGGGAATGTGAGAGGAGGACAAGGGTTGCAATAGCAAGATTGTATGATTGCATAGGAAGTATTGCAACCATCTTAATGAATTTAATGTTGTCTTCTTTGAAGATATGTTTTAAACTGTTTAATTTATATTATAAAAGGTAGGAGTTTGTGTGTGAGCACTAGGGTTGAAGTGTGAGAGGGGCGTGGTGGGAAGGAGAAGTTGCAGGAGTGAGAGACAGGAGTGCCTAAAGGGAAGCTAAGTGAGAGGGAGGTGGAAATGGAATAGGAGGAAGGGAAGATTAATGAGAAACATAATAGATAAGAGATACTGAGGTTGGGCACCTGAAGGGTCACAGTGATAGCAGAGGGGTGATGTAAAGGGGGACCAGCCACCAGTGACAATACAGCAAATGTGAAAAAGCATCCTGAGTTCAAAGATCTGGTAGCCTCAGTGGCTAGGATATTTTTAATCCTAGCTGCTTCTGGACTGACAGTCCAACCTCCTTCCCATTAACTACAGTTCCCTCATTTTAGAAGAGGGGACTGTAGGCAAGCTGCTGACAGCCCTTTGACCCTGGAATTCAAAAGTGATACATATAGCTGATAATAACTGGAGAACTAGATATTTTACTATTTTCAAATACTTCCTCCCATCAAAGGCTTTGGTCTTAATCATCACCTAA